GCCAGACAGACAGAGAGAGACAGAGAGACAGAAAGCGAGAAATCACCCCCCAGGGGGGATGGCCATGCCGCAATCCCTTCTTCTCCATTCTCCTCTCGGGATCTTGGGCACACATGCACACACACACGTCTGGCGTGAGTTTAAGCCACCTGGTCTGGGACGTGAACCGTGGTCGACTACATGGGAGGCCAGCACCATAGCCATTATGCCAACTGCTGGTGCCTGCATTTTGCTTTTTAGTGAAATCTCTGTGTTTCTCCTCTATGGTCTGACTAATGTACAATATATACCCCTTTTACATGTCTTTCAAGAATTTATGAGTTTTTGGGACCAGTAGTTAGCGTAATGGCTATGTCGCTGAACTCCCATGTAGCCGATCACGGTTCGAGTCCCGGACCTGGTGGCTTAAACTCACGCTGGGTATGTGTGCATGCATGACCAAGATCCTGAGATGAGATTGGAGGAGAAGGGATTTCGGCGAAGGGATTGCAGTCCGATCCCTACTGGGGGGTGGAGGGTGATTCTCGCTTTCTATCTCTGTCTCTCTCTGTCTTTCTGGCGATCGCACGTGCCCTATAGCAAAACCTCTCCCCAAAAAAAGAATTTGAGTTTTTGCTAATAATGCAGAAGACAGGGATATTGAACACACAGAGAATACGGCCAGGATGGAGCCACAATGGTTAAGTTTTCACAGCCAAAAGCTGGCTGCAGTGGGACTCAAAGCAACTGTAGTTAAGGGCAACAGTTTCCATTTAGTAACTGCATTCTAACCATATTCTAATAAGAAATACAGAATGCTATGGTCTGCTGACCCCACAAAGAGCAGGGTAATAAATCACTCCTACTACCATGTAGCCATTTTCTAAAGCCCACTTCCTTACCAGAAAGCCAGCCTATTGCTTGGACTGCTAGACAAAACCCCTCACCTCCAGCCCCTTTGGCTACCTGTTCAGGCCCCTTCCGTGGCATTGGAAGCTTTTCGTCCTTCGCTAATAAATCTCTAATTTTTCATGAGCCTAGAACAAGAACCGGCGTGGGTGCTGGGCTTGATCACCAGCGACTTCCACATCACTGTGTATCCGGGGCTCCCCAGCATTGTCCTCATCCCGCAGCTTTGGTAGAGTCAGCAGAGTACATGACCCAGGGACACCCCTTCTGACCTCCTGGCTGGGGGCTTACTACCCGGTCCATGGAGAATAGCATTTCTGGAATGGAAGAACTTGGACTTGGCCAGCCGTCCAGACGACCCAGGATAGGGCCACATCAACTTGGCCTTCAAGGCCCAGGGCCCAGATCTTTCCACTATATCAGGGCCACATGGGTATTGTCTGGGGAAGGGGCTTGGCCCAGGAGGCAGGAAAAGATGGGGATGCATCTTTCAGACAAGCAGGATTAAGCAAGGCCAAGTAGGCAGGAACCCCACAGTTTCAGGCCTGGAGGACAAGCCCTCGGGGAGCCCTCCAGGGCCCGCATCCAGGTGACAGGGAGCAGGAAGCCGGAGGAGAGCAGGGACAAGCCTCAGTGTAACAGTGAGTGTGGGAGCAAGTGTGTACAGCCACAATGCTGTATAGGGAGCCCCTCGGTGGGTGTGTGTGCAAATCTTAGAATCATGTCATATCTGCCACCGCTAGAATGTGAGAGGCATCCTGGGAGTGTCCACAGGAGTAGAGGTCCTGCCCGCAGGGGACATGCAGACTCTGTCACAGACAGCTTCCCCGAGGTGCTGCCATTGGCAGTGTCAGGGCCAGTGGGGTCCTCAGGCAGCTTCAACCCTGGGGAGGCATGACCCACTTGGGAGAGTCCTAGGGGAGACATCTGGAGGGGGGCACCTGGGGCTAGAGCCAGGGGGGTAGCGGCTTCTGGGTCCATCCCACCACTGCCAGCCAGGAGGGGTCTGGGCCATAGGTGTGAGGAGCACACTGAGGGAAGGCCCCAGGAATGTGAGAAGAGCCAGGGTATCCCCTGGGGCCGCTCCTGCTCTGAGTCTGAGCACAGCACTAAAGATAGCAGCAGGACCCCGGAGAGTCCTGGGATGGGCACCGACAGCTGACAGGTGCAGAGGACTTGGCCAGGGGCCCTGGGGTCCTGAGCCACGTGAGACCTCCCCCACAGACCCCCCAGGAAGGGCCCCGAGCCAAGGCAGGTCTGCACGGGCTTCAGGGGTCTCTCCAGGCAGGTGTGTGTGTGTGTGTGTGTGTGTATGTGTGTGTGCGTGCGCGCGCACACATGCACCTTCTGCTACTCCTCCCCTTCCCATGAAAGCTCCTGGTATGTGTCCTCCCCCCTCACCACCCCTTTGGCCCCGTCTTGGGCCCAAGGGACACTTATTTTCGATTCTGGAAATAAGAGTTGCTGAGGAGTCTGGTTTATTTTAAAATCCAGTGAAGGGAAAACTGTTTTTGTCACCTGAGGTCATTGCCCATCTGCTCAAGGGCAAGAACAGGAGGGAGGGAGGAGTGCAGTATGTAGACTGGAGTGGGGTCCATGCGTGTGCACAGCTTCCTAAGGGAGCAATGGGGAGGCCTAAGAGGGCTGGGCAGGGCTTAGAGTTCGCATCAGGCAGAGTCCTCAGGGCTCCAGGCCAGCCTTAGGAAGGGTGGAGGAGTAAGCAAGCAGGTGTCCCTGTGGGACTGGCCTGGGTAGTCCCAACCCCAACCCAGGGAACAGAGCACAAGGAACACCTGTTTGAGACCCAGGGCCAGGACCCTAGCGCAAGCCCACCCCTGGAGGGCAGCTCGCACCTCCCCTGAGCATCCCAGGACAGCCCAGTTCACAGGTCCCCCCTCCAGGTTTGCTGAGCACCTACTATGTGTCCTGGAGTTTACTACAGTTTATTCACTTAGGAGTCATAGTTAAGGACCAGCAGATGGTGTAATAGTTACGTTGCTGGACTCCCACATAGCCGACTGCAGTTTGAGTCCCAGACCCAGTGGCTTAAAATTCACGCTGCGTGAATGTGCGTGCGTGCTCAAATCCCAAGAAGAGAATGGAGAAGAGATTGCAGCATGGCCAACCCCCCCCCCACCACCACCAAGGGGAGTGATTTCTCGCTTTCTGTCTCTGTCTCTCTGGCGAGTAGACACACCCTAAAGCAAAAATCTCCCTCTAAGGAAAAAAAAAAAAGATTCATAGTTAAGTTCTCTTTGGAAGCACATAGGTTGGATGAAGAGTTGGAAAAAACGGGCTTCTCCCCATCCCAGTGGAGTGGACCTTAGTGCAGAGCTGAGAAAAGAGCACAGCAGCCCCAGGAGGTGTTGGGTCGTTGCTGCTGCTGCGTGGGGCAAGGCAGGGGGACTGGTATGTGGCCCTCCACTGAGCAGCCTGGCTATGCCCTAGAGACAGGGAGCCTGGAAGGTGACCTCCTGCTCAGGGTCCGGGCCTGGTTTCCATGGGAATGGCGAGTCAGCACAGTGAGCGCAGATGGGAGGCTGTTTGATCACCACTGTCCTCATCTCTGGGCAGCCCAGCCAGGGCTGTGGGAGACAGGCAGCTGCTCAGAGGGGACAGACAGTTGAGGGACTCAGTGGTCCTGGGGCCAGGGATGAGGTGGCCTTGGAACTTGGGACTGTGGGGTACTAAAGGCTTGGATCCAGGGAACCCAGGAGTAGACTCTGCTAAGGATGGTCATCCCAGGAGGACCCCAGCCTTATTCAGTGTGGAAAGCTGGTAATAGGCAAGCAGGGCCAGCAGGTGGTGTGGTGGAGGGCACTGGACTCCCACATGGCTGACTGGTTCAAGTCCCGGACCTAGCAGCTTGCTTTCTCTCTTCCCCCCCCTCTCTCTGGTGAGTGCGTGTGCCATACAGCAGATTAAACATTAATAAATAAATCAAATTAATCATTCTTTTTTGGGGAAGATTTTTTCTGTAGGGCGTGTGCACTTGCCAGAGAGACAGAAAGCGATAAATCACCCCCTGCTCCCCAGTAGGGGTGGCCACTCTGCAGTCCCTTCTCTTTCATTCTCCTCTTGGGATTTTGGGCACAGACACACACAGACACACACACACACATACACGTGCCCAGTGTGAGTTTGACACCACTGGGCCCGGGACTTGAACAGTAGTCGACCACGTGGGAGTCCAATGCCTTACTGCCTACACCACCTGCTGGCCCCAGTAATTCGTTTTTGTTTGTTTGTTTGCTTTTTTTTGCCTTTTTTTTTTTTTTTAAAGAAAATAGGCAAGTGAGGGCTAATAAAGAGGGCCTAGGATGAGCCTTACCTAAGGACATAGGCAAACTTGTCAGGTTAATGAAAGGACCCATTAGGATAAAGGATAAAGACCTCAGGGAAGCTTTTACATCAGGGGAAACCGGCTCTGGATGACAGACGCTCTGCATTCCTGAGAAATGACCACGCCCCCTCCCCTCCCCCCAAGACCAAGCTTGTGATCTATCCCAGCCAAATGTGAGACCATAAAGAAGACCCTTCTGAGGTACAAATCTGCCAACCTGCTCAGGTCTCATCCCGGGCACCCTCCCCTGAGCTCCAATAAACTTGGCTTCTGCTCATGCTCACATTTCTGTCTCTGCTAAATTATTTTATTTCTTTTTCTTTTTTTGTAATTATATAATTTAATTTAATTTAATTTTTTTAAAAAAGTGACCAAAGAGGAACAGAATGAAAGGGGGAGGGAGAGAAAGTGAGAAAGCAAGCTGCTAGGTCCAGGATTTGAACTGCAGTCAGCCATGTGGGAGTCCAGCACCTTCCACCACCACAAGGAAATAAGGAGGGTGGGGAGCTTTAGCTCCGTTGGGGGGGGGTATGGGGACTGGAGCTGGCACAGGTAGCCCAGGTAGCAGTCACAGGAAGGAGGCAGCACTGGGGGACAGGAGGGGCTGAGCTGGCCACAGATACTAGCAAAGGGTCACTGTCCTGTGGCTACCCCCTCTCCACTGGGCAAGAGGACCTGGAGCAAGGCTGCCCAGGGGAAGCCCACCCACTCTCCATCATACTCGGAAGCCAGGAGCCTCAATTTCCTGCCCCATCCTCCAGCACTTCCAAAGCCCCTTCTCTTGTTGCGTGACAGAGGGCCCTATTCCCCAGCCCAGAGACCCAAAGCAGGTCTGACCCTTTGCAGCTCAGAGTCTGAGAGGCAGAGTTGTTGGTGCGAGAGGAAAGGATCATTTATTCGTGTGACCAGGAAGACATTGATACTTTAGACTGGTCAACTTACAGATGCATTTATGGGGAAGGAGGAGGCTGGGGGTAGTTGCAATGTACAGAAAAGCACAGGGCAGGCTAATTTTTAGCTGCCGGGGGTGGGGGTGGGGGTGGTGATCCAAAACAGGAGTTTTGATGCCCAGGGGCGGAATGTTCCTCAAGCTACAGGTTAACTGCCAAGATGTCCCTCTTCCTGAAATTCCTTACCCCTCCCTTAATTTTTATTTAAATTTGCTATAAGGTGCTTGTGCTTAGTCAAGGAGAGGAAGAAAGTACTTGGGGAGAGGGGAATGGCCACGCAGCAATTCCTTCTCCATGCTACTCTAGGGATTCTGAGGGCACACACACGTCCTAGGTGTGATTTTTTAAGCTAGGATGGATACTAGAATCACTCAGTGCCATGTGGGATCCTGTCATCTTAACGTCCACACCATCTAGCGGGCCCTCACTGGAGTTTCTAAGAGAGATTTCCAACACAGTATCAACCTGACAAGGAGAAAAACGACAGGATGGAGTCAGTGTGGCGAAAACAGGCCCCTATTATACCCTCAGCCTGCCCCAAGAGGCTGGGTGCCCCCGTGTTCCCTCTGCAGCAGGTGGGCCTGGACAGGCCTGGGTGAAGCTGGAGTCCGGCCGGGCGGAGGCAGTCTGAGCTACTCCTTAACCCGACTTCCTGGCTGTATGGAGTATTCTCCAAAGCAGGTGCTAGAGCATACTTTTATGTTAAGGTTTGCGAACTTGACTTGTACTTTTCAAACACACGCACATTTGTGTGGGTCCTGTTTTCCAACTGCCCCAAAAACGTTGGCGCAGGGTTCTGCAGAGGTGCGCAGAGATAAGGCCTGCAGGGTGCGGGAACCTCTTCTGCGGCGCGGTTGCCTGACTGTCTTCAATTCTTGGGGGACCAGCAGTTAGCGTAATGGCTATGTCGCTGGACTCCCATGTAGCGCAGCGCGGTTCGCGTCCCGGACCCGGCAGCTTAAACTCACGCCGGGCGTGCGTGCCCAAGATCCCGAGAGGAGAATGGAGGAGAAGGGATTGCTGTGTGGCCATCCCCCTGGTGGGGTGATTTCTCGCTTTCTGTCTCTCTGACTCTCTCTGTCTATCTGGCGAGCGCACTCGCCCTATATAAAAAAAAAACCAAACCAAAACAAAAAAAAACAACCTCTCCAATTGAAAGCAAACCTCCATAGCACAATGCAGGTTGGGGGCAGCGCGCATGCGCAACTCGTTGCTCTCGGCTCGGTTAGGCACCTATGCGCATGCGCAATCGAAGACTTCACCCGCCGAGTGGAGGGCGTGCTTTTTTCCTCCGGCCGCCAGGGGCGCCCCCTCCTTTGTCGCCACAGACAGCGCATGCGCTCACTTGGTTTCTAATTTGCTTGGCTCTTGTGCGTCCTCCTCTAGCTCCCGGTTGTGCTTCCGGCGCGAAGGTCAGGGACAAAATGGTGCCGCCGGTGCAGGTCTCTCCGCTCATCAAGGTGAACCAGGCTTCATAGCCCCCAACGGATACTTGGGGTCCCCGCGTGTCTTGCCCCACAGAGCCCGAACTTGTGGGCTGCGACTCCCATCCCTGGCCCTTCCGAAACCCCGACCCTCCGATTCCCGGCGTCCCCGATCCCGGTCTCAATACCGGACCCCTCGCCTCGCGACCCCTGACCCCACCATCCTAGCCGCGCACCCTCATCCCATGACCCCCGCCCCGCCACCGCGCCCCGGCTGACCGCTCTCTCCCGCAGCTGGGCCGCTACTCCGCCCTGTTCCTCGGCGTGGCCTACGGAGCCAAGCGCTACAGTAAGTGACCGTGGGGCTGCGAGTGACCTAGGTTTCTCTGAGGTCCAGTGCGGCTTAGCGAAGCCTAGCTAGGGAGAGGGGCTTGGGGCAGGTGCAGGGACTCAAAGTGCAGAGACCGGGCGGAGCCTGGAACATGGCTGGTTCTTGATGGAAAAGAGCTATGTGGGTGTTGGAGTGCTGAGGTCCGACGGGGCCCCTGTCAGTAGAGGACGCAGGACTGAGGTGTGCAGCAGGGACCCCGTAGCCTCTGGACTGGGCTCTATTGATGGAGAAGGTTAGGCCTTGATCCACATTGACATAAGAGCGGGAAAACTGGTGCATCTGGCGTTCGCTGAGTGCCTGACGGTGTCTTGACCTGTGACTAGTTCCTGTATTGCAGCACTCAGTGAAGAGGCTAACAGAAGGTTCTCTCTAACCCTCTTCCCTGAAACAGGTTATCTAAAACCTCGGGCAGAAGAGGAGCGGAGGATAGCAGCAGAGGAGAAGAAGAAGCAGGATGAACTGAAACGGATCGAGAGAGAGCTGGCAGAAGCCCGAGATGACAGCATATTAAAGTGAGAGGTTCTACGAGCCTGCTCGTCTCCAGACCAGCAGTGGATGAATAGGGAAAACAGCTTCTGTTGCAAGTGAGGGCCTCAGTTCAGACTTGGCCAAGCAAGTAGAGGGTCCTCTCTGGGGAAGGTGGGGTGGACAGTCTGGAGTGTTTTGTGTGTGTTTGTGTGGTGGTGGTGGGGTGGGGGTGAGTGTGGACATGGTGACAGTTTGCCTTTGGTGCAGCCCAGGCCCCAGCAATGTGAATAGCATGTGAACAGCAGTACCGCTCAGAGAGGCACGGGACACCCACTTATCCCACTGCCTGCCCAGCAGGTTCAAGTTGGAATTGCAGGGATAAGGAAACCAAGGAGAGTTTAAGTAGAGCCTCGCCAGGTCCCATTGGAATTGGATATGGGATTGTTTACAAACTGAACACCTGAAGAATCCTTTCAGGTTTCCTGAGAGTGTAATCACATGTGTGTTTTTCTCCTAACCTTTCAGCCCGAGATGACAGCATATTAAAGTGAGAGGTTCTACGAGCCTGCTCGTCTCCAGACCAGTAGTGGATGAATAAAGCTTTCTGTGTTGTGCGATGCCCTGGCTCCCTCTTATTTACTGTTGCTGGTTGTCTAATTCTGGGACTCAAATTCCGTGGTTGTACTCTGCGTCTCCTCTCCAGTTCACATGGGGTGGTGGGTTTGCGGGGGGCAGGTTTCAGCAGGCCTCTGCCCCTGTTTCTCCCCCTCTAAAATAATAAAAGCATTCTGAGACCTTGAGAAGTCAGACACCCTGCTTATCTGACCTTTTTTTTTAAAGAATTATTTTATTTAACTTTATTTCTTCCTAATGGGTTGCTGCTTCCTGACAGCCAGGTGTGGTGATGGGAGCCTGGAGCTCAGGAGGCCGAGGCAGGAATATTAAGATATTGCCAAGCATAAAGATCAGTAGTTGTCTAGAGAACATTTTAAGCTTTTTCAACTACAAATTTCTTGAATTGACAAATAAGGAAATAATTCATGAAATTGAGCTAAATTTTTATTAGGAATCTGTCTAGGAGTCTTTAGAAGATAATGATAATTATATTGATTGCTAGATTAACAAAAATATTACAATTATATTTACTGCTAACTCATTACAAATCAGGGTGAAGGCAATTAATTTTCCTGCCATATCTTTACTTCAGTATTTGGAACAGACATGTAAAGAGAAAGTCAAACACTAATAATACAATAGTAATATGCAGTGTCTGATGACAGAGAGATTTATTTATGTGTTTGCTTTTGAATACCTGAGTGAGCCAGATGGTTTTCCATAGGCTTGACAAGATGATATAATGCCACATTTGTCAAGATATCTACACACTACAGTAATAAGTGTTATATAAATACATAGAGTTGAGGAAAACAAAGTGATTGCAAAAAAATTATTTTTATGGTCTATATTCAACATTTGATTAAACATTTTTATCAGCTGACTAAATCTATTTTTTTCAATTTTTGCATTCAATCATTACCACAAAAACATGATTTTTAGATTATCTGGGATGAGTAAACTAGTTTACAAGAGATAATATTAAAAACATTAAAATACTTAATTTTGAACATAAAAAATTGTTTGAACAGGACCAACTGAGGATCATGCATTCCATTTCAAATGATATATTTTTTAAAATGGTTGTAATATTGCCATACTATTTTCTTTTTCTTTTCTTTTTTTTTTTTTTTTTTTAAGGTTTTGCTTGGAGAAAGAAAGAGAGAAAATAAGAAATCATCCCCCGCCCTCAAGGGCATTGGCTACTCCACAATCCCTTCTCCTCCTGCATCTGGGGCATGTACAGGTATATACCTGTTGGTGTTTTCAAGATGCTGTGTCCACTGATTCTAACCACAGTTGAACAAATGGGAATTCAGTGGCTTAACCACCATGCAACAGCTGACTTCTTTTCAGATCTTTTAATGGAGGATCTTACAGTATTCCTTCCTGGGCAAATATTGTTATCAAGTAGCATTTTACTCTTAAAAAGTAATTTACATGTCAGACCAGCAGTTGGTGTAATCGCTATGTCTCTGGACTCTCATGTAGTCGACCGCGGTTTGAGTCCTGGACCTGGTGGCTTAAACTCATGCCGGGTGCGTGCCCAAGATCCCAGGAGGAGAATGAAGGAGAAGGGATTGCAGATCCCAGGAGGAGAATGAAGGAGAAGGGATTGCAGTGTGGCCATTCCCCCGGAGGATGATTTCTCAATTTCTGTCTCTCTGTCTCTCTCTGTCCTTCTGGTGAGCACACATGCTCTATAGCAAAACCTTCTCCAAAAATAAATAAATAAATAAATACATACATAAATAAATAAATAAATAAATAATTCACATGTAACATTTTATGTAAGGTGACTTCAAAATTTTTATGGAAAAACGTAATTAAAGCATCAATTTATGTTGGTGCCGCAAAATTTAAAATCCATTTTTATTTTTTTGTAACACACATCGCCATTAAATTTTGGAAGACCCTGAGTCAATTTATAGTGCAAAACATGAAGTTTAGTAGTTGTTTAATTGATTAAACCATTGTGAAATTCACATTAAACCATTTCACAGTGGTTTAATCAATTTGTCTAAAATATGAGTAGTTCACATATTAAACATATTAAACATTTTTTTTGCCCAATGAGTACACTATATTGTTAACTATAGTCATTCTTATATATAATAGATCTCTTGAGATTATTCCTCTTTTCTAACTGAAATTTTGTGCCCGCTTAGCAAGATTTCTATAATCCTTTATCTTTATCCTCTGGTAATTACCATTTGGTTCCTTGTTCCTATGAGGTCAAAATGTTTTATTCTCCACATATAAGCAGAATCATGTGCTATTTGTTCTTCTGTGCCTGACATTTCACCTAGCATAACTTTCCTCAGTTCCAGCCACGTTACCACATATGATAAGATTCTCTTCTTTTTAAGGGGTGAATAGTACTCTATTGTGTGTTACCATATGAAGTATATGTAACATTCCACTTTTAAAATGAAGCAAATAAGATTTACATAATGTTTTTTTTTCTTAAGTAAATTAAACCAAAATCTCTTTTGGGGTTGGAGAGCAGGCCCTATTGCCTAATGGGTAAGGAATCCAGATCCCACATAACCAAGCACAGTTAGAATCCTGCTTTCTTTACACCCTCAATAGCTTGAAAAACAAACACACCCATAACTTGTGCATATGTGCTCAAAATCCTAATAGGATGGAGAAAAGGAAGGAAAGATGGCAAATAGATAATCTATCATCATGCCTCTGGGGATTGGATAAACAACAACAAACAAACCCAAAAAATGCCAGGTGAAAAGAAATAATTAAGGTTCAAGCAGAAATAAATGAACTAGAAAATAAATGAACCATACAGAAAATAAATGAAAGCAAAAGCTGGTTCTTTGAAAAGATTCACAAGATTGACACACCATTGGCTAGAATGAGCAAGAAGAAGAAAGAAAGAAACCAGATTAATCAAATATGTGATGAAACAGGCAATAATATTACAACAGAAACAGTAGAAATGCAAAGTATCATTAGAGGATACTATGAGCGACTATGTGCCAACAAACAAGGTAACTTGGAGGAGATGGACAAATTCCTGGATGCATATAATCTACCAAGATTGAATCAGGACATAGAGACCCTGAATGGACCCATAACAAGCCAGGAGATTGAATCAGTAATAAATAACCTCCCGACAAAGAAAAGCCCAGGTCCAGATGGCTTCACTTCTGAATTCTAAAACTTTTAAGGAAGAGTTATCCCCTATCTTACTAAAATTATTTCTAAAGATTCATAAAGGAAGGAAACCTTCCAAATTCATTTTATGAAGCCTCCACCATCCTCATCTCCAAAACAGATAAGGACATGACAAAAAAGGAAAACTACAGACCAATACCATCGATTAATATAGATGCAAAAATTCTCAACAAGATACTCGCAAATCGTATCCAACAACATATAACAAAGATTATTCATCATGACCAAGTAGGCTTTATACCAGGGATGCAAGGGTGGTTCAATATACGCAAGACCATAAATGTAATACACATTAACAGAAAGAAAGATAAAAACCATATGATCAT